TGCAGTAATAGGATTTCCATGAATATCTTGAGCACCTTCAGATATGATTATAATAGTTAAAAGTCTTCCTTTTGAACGCATCTAGAATAAAAAATAAATATATTTTTTAAATATTCATATTTGGAATTCACAAATTAATAAATAGATAGTGTCGGTGGTTAATCAAACATGTAGAAACTCCTGAAGTGAAAGAAAAGTATTGCACATCCCAAAAATACCCCAAAAATACCCGAAATTAAAATGTGTTAGCAATAAATAGAATATTATCGTTGCAAATCAAAACTGGTTGAAGAAATTTAAAACTTTTAAAAATTCCTAATCCAAAATAGTTTACATATAAAACATAAAAGAATCATATGTAAAATTGATAATATATACTTATCTATATATCTATATCTACATCTATCTATCTATCTATCTATCGATCTATCTATCTATCTATATATATATATATATACATATATATATATATATATATATATATATATATATATATATATATATATATATATATATATATATATATATATATATATATATATATATATATATATATATATATATATATATATATGTATATATATATATATATATATATATATATATATATATATATATTATATTTTACTGGATAAATATAAAGTAACTTTACAATTTACAAAAAAAAAAAAAAAAAATTTAATGTAATGAAAACTTATTTATTTGATTTTTTTTTTTTTTGTTTATGCGACACAATGATCGCAAAAAGTGACCAACGGAGCCGTCCAGTTTTGTAGACCTGAGAGATGTGATAATAAAAACAGTTAGAAGATGGTGTCATTGAATATAAAATAAAAATAATATGAGAATATAAAATGAGTGATAAGACTTTTGTGAAGGTAAAGAACGAAGTAAATGCTCGGAGGCAGGGAGAGAACAAACTAACACTCTAATCACTCTGTATGTAGATCATATGTAACAAAGAACAAATATTTGATATACTGATTTTGAAGACCGTTGATGTCTACAGGTGTAATGGTGTAGTGCATTAGTATGTACCGTTTGGTCGTCTAGTATGGTCTCGTTATGTCTTCGTTCACATTAAAATCGGGTGAATAGAAAGCTAAACACACTCACTTCTTGCGCTTATGGGCTAGCACATCAGAGCCAGACGTAAGACCTACAGAATGGATTTCAATTGATCGAATGCACACATTAGTCACCGTAGGCCACAAGCCATCACTCTTAACCAAAAGAGCTACTGCCCCGTGCTGGTGTGGAATGATGTGCTATGAAGTGAGATTTCAGATCCGAGCACATAGTCAGCGAGCGCTGATCCGACGTGCATTGTGGAGCTTCCGATTGAACGTGTGCGTGAGTGTCAGCGTAGTCATTAGGTTATTGAGCGCCGTAACCACATCCAGCGGGATAGCCTAATGTCCGTTTTGTCATTGTGACGTACATTGGAAAAAGTCGGGGCTCACCAGCCACAAAGAATAAATTTTTGCTTATGCGACACTATGATCGCAAAAAGTGACCAACGGAGCCGTCCAGTTACGTAGACCTGGGAGATGTGAAAGTAAAAACAGATTGAAGATGATGTCATTTAGGTAAAAAAACATAAATTAATGCAAAGACTATATAGTTGGAAGAGTAAAAGTAAGCAACTCAGGAAAAGGGGGAATAAAAACTCACACTCTAGTCATCTTTTAATAAATGATAAAATAATGATCTATGAGTAAACAAGTCAATAAAAATCCGCTGGTTTATAATGGTATTCATAACTAAAATAATCGCACCATACAAGTGTCTAATAAATGTGGTACTATATATGTTCTAAACTCTAGATAAAAAATTGATAACTGATAATCACCTGTGTAACATAAAAAATATATAAATGTCGTAAATGTACCAAATTCATAATAAAAAGCTCATAAAGCGCAATAATACATGGGTTTAAGAGGTAAAAAAATGTTGGTGCCATAATAACCAATTAGAATTAAGTAGTGGATAAATGGTGATCCCCCTCCTCAGGAATGCACTGCGATCACCAATGACGTTTCGGAGAGCCCGAAAGTGTTTACTGTTTGATTACGGAGAGGCAAGTATTAAGTATTAATCATATGTAAAATTGATAATATATACTTATCTATATATCTATATCTACATCTATCTATCTATCTATCTATCGATCTATCTATCTATCTATCTATATATATATATATATATATATATATATATATATATATATATATATATATATATATATATATATATATATATATATATATATATATATATATATATATATATATATATATATATATATATATATATATATATATATATATGTATATATATATATATATATATATATATATATATATATATTATATTTTACTGGATAAATATAAAGTAACTTTACAATTTACAAAAAAAAAAAAAAAAAATTTAATGTAATGAAAACTTATTTATTTGATTTTTTTTCTTCGATTTGCGATGAGATATTTATCCATTTGCTGTTTTTATTTTTTTTTATTTCTTTTGCTCTCTGTTTTTATTTGCACATATTATATTATTTTTAAATATAAGCAAAAAATTTATTTATATATTTTCTTTCTTTCTTTAATTTATAAATATGTTTTTATTTTTATAATTATTATTTTTTAAATTGATTTTAAGGCAATGTAAAGAATAATTGACTGGTTAATTCTATGCAAAAAAAAAAAAAAAAAGAATTAAATCAAAATCAGATGCGTTTTCATCAGTGAATTTTTTTATCAGTGGTGTTCACACACACACACACACACACACACACACACACACACACACACACACACACACACACACACACAAAACTTATTTCAAATACTTCAAATATCTTTTTAAGATTAAAAAAAACAGCAAATATAAAAAATAATTTGTAAAATTTATTTTATTTTTACTAATACCTTTTTCAGATTTTCACATAATTCACTCTCCCATCCATCCTCTGGAGGCCATTCTGGGATAAAAATCTGAAAAAAAAAATGATTAGTATGTAAAACTGCATGAAACTCACAGGAAATCATCAAATTTTCATAAATTTAATTGCAGCTCATTAAAAATGGCACAGTGCTCAGAAAACTGCTGATCTAAGAATAAGGTTACTATGCACCATGCAAATTACTTTCTACTTATAAATTACTGAAAAATAAAGTTTCATCAAGTAAGATTCCTGTCAAAATTTTATTGTGGAAACTTTAATAACTTATCACAATGAAAAACAAAAATCAATATTACTGATATAACATATATGCATATATAAAAATGTATGCATTGATGTTGTGATACATGAGAGTGTATGTATACATGAGTATATGTAACTGATTCATATGTGGTGACTATATCTAGTATGTACATATGCATGTGGTGCGTACGTGCAGCCATCGGAATCAGGAAAAAAAAGGTTGGCAAAAAATTGTCAAACTAAAATCCATTTAGGTTGGTACAAAATTTTGAACCAAACATGTGAACATAAAAAAAACCCACAAAATTGACAAAACAAAAAAAAAAAGTCGACATTTTCTTAAAAATTTGAAAAAATAAACAAAAGTTTTGCGAATTTTATTTTAAATATTTTATCTAAAATTAAAATGTTTCTATTCGTGTTTTTATTTTCAATTGTTTTGTTTACAATTTAAATTAAAGGTTGGTTTTGCCATTTTTATTTAAAATATTTTGTTTAAAAAAAAAAATTTGTTTAAAAACTATATAAGTATTTAAGTAATAAAATTTCTAATTTTTTTTTAGAATTTGAAGTTTTGTAGTTTTCATTTTAACTATTTTTTTTAGAATTTAATATAAACCTTCGTTTTGTTGTTTTTAATTTAATTATCTAATAAAAAGACGTTCATTTTGTTGTTTTTAGTGTATTTAAAATAGCAAATAAAGTTAAGATTTAAAATTCTGAGGTTGGCAAAAAATTATTAACCTCAGCATTGTTAGGTTGGCAACTATAATTCCAAGAGCTGTACGTGGATATGATACAATAGACTTGATAGTGCTGATACTGATATTAGTATGATGTTATGCATGTGTATTATTACAATTAACGGGAGCAAGTAAAGAATTATTTACACAATGCAATTTAGTTAGTAATAAAAAAATTAATATAATTAATTACACAGATATATTTTTTAAAATCATTGATTTTTACCACTGCAGTAGCTCCCTTGCCTTATTTGTATTCTTTGTATTATTTGTATTATTAGTAGCTGTTCTGTTAGTTAAAGACTTCAAATACAAATAAATATACTAATTATAATTTTTTTTATTGTTCATTTAACTTTTCTGGCAATTTGTTTCATTTAAACTTTCTTTTAGGTAGACACTCCTGTATTTAGAAAATCAGCATTTAATTTCATGCTGTATTTAGCACTATTATTGACAACATTTTCATAAAACAACACTGTTTTTCTTTTTGATGACTGTTTCAATTTTTTAAAGTTATTAATAACAATAGTAACAATTGATTTAATTTATTACCAATCAGTAAAACTTATTTTAATTTATTACCCAATCAGCTCCACTGCTAATTCCTGCAACTAGTGCCAAATATCTAAAATTTATTGTGAGCAATCATTATAATAACAAATTAAACCAAATCAAACTATTGAGTATTAAAAATCATTTGCATCAAAATATATATGTAAAAAATATACATATATAATATATATATACATATATGTATATGTATATATATATATATATATATATATATATATATATATATATATATATATATATATATATATATATATATATATATATATATATATATATATATATATATATGTATACATATAAATTTCAAAAATTGTTACCCACAATTCCTTCCCATAACTTCCAAAATAAAAGCTCTTTGATGACTAAAATGAAAAAAAAAGTTTTTATCTTAGCTTTTTAACTTTAAATTATATTATATACCTAAAATTATCTAACTATTTTTATTACATATCATTTTATTACTTAAATAACAGGATTATTTAAACTTGATAATACTGACATGCTGTAAACAGAAATGCAGTAGACAAATATTTAAACTTAAAACTCTAGATAAAAAATCTGTATTTGAAGAACATCTTTCAATATTATGAGCTTTGAACTGAAGAACTTAAAGATTGAGATAATAGATTAGTCCACAAATTTAATGCAAATTTGTAATCTCTATTGGACATTATTGCATAAGTGAGTAAAGCGATCATAGTTGTTAAAATTTCATAGCAGAGTTATAGAGTTAAAAGTAGGGAATTTTAATCCTCTGACCATTCTTTTATGTGCTCCAGCTTAGCACCTTTTCACTCTATCGACTTTTTCTTTGTTCTTTATCATTCTCTGTCTCAAGACTGCACTGTTAGATTTAACTTCTGATCAAATTGAGCATGTCCTTTCTTTTTACCCCTCTTCCAATAATGTTGTCATTGGTGACTTTAATGCTAGGTTCTAACACCACTGAATGGCTAGGTTCTAACACCACTGACACTGCTGAAACCAAAGTTTACAGTTTCTTTATTTCTTAATCTCATACTTAGATAGGTAACTTTGTGACTCATTTTCCATCAAAATCTAATCACTTACCTTCACTCCTTGATTTGTGTTTTATCTCTGACCCTAGCTTGTATTCAGTTTCTCCTTTAGGTGATTCCAACCATAAAATGGTTTCTTTAAATCTTTCATCTAAATAAACCTTTCTTGTACTTCTTCTTTGGACTCACCCTATCATCGCACTACTTACTACTACCCTAAAGCTGATTGGGATTCTTTTTGTGATTTTCTTCGTGACAGTCTTTAGACTGATGTCTTTTCTCTCTCTGCTCATAAACGTGCTTTCTGCAAAACCTTGTGGATCCAGCAAAGTCATTCAGCAAGTCATTCAGCAAAGTCACATCCTTTTACAGCATCTGTTCCTGTATGTTTTAAAACTTGTCTTGTATTTTCCCTCGGATTTCAACCCTCTGGAACTCTCTTCTATCTTTATGTTTTCCTGACTCATACAACCTACAACTTTTCAAGTCTTCTGTCAACTTTTTCCTTGCTCTTTAACTCTATTCTTTGTTTTCTAGTAACTCCTAACTTAATAGCGGTTGCTTGCAGCCTTGTTGGGAATAAATTATAATTAAATTTAAAAAATTTAAAAAAGAGCCTACTCCAAAATGGCAACTGACCTTTTGTAATCTTTAATTGAATTAAGCACAAATTGAATTTCGTGTAGTAAATAAATGCTATATTAAGTTTCATATATTGATATAAATGAAACTTAAAAAGGCATTTATACTATATGAAATTCAATTTGTGCTTAATGAAATTAAAGATTACAAAAGATTGGGTGCTACTATGGTGGAGGCAATTATTTTAAATTTATTTCTCTCAACTCTATAACTTTGATGTGAAATGTTAACAACTACGGTTACTCTGTCTCATGATGAATAAAAAATGCTTTTATAAAAAAGGCATTCGCATAAGGGAGTTTTTGATGTCAAAAAAATTTTTTTAATTGCTTTTCATATTTATTGACATCAACTTTTTTGAAATATTGCAATTTACTAACTCATTGCAAACTAGTTTAATTTAACTCAAAACAATGTAGAAATGTTATTATGTAAGAATGTTATCAAATGTTTACTTAGATACTGGTTTTTTAAAAATTGAAATATTGCAATTTACTAACTTATTGCAAAACTAGTTTAATTTAACTCAAAACAATGTAGAAATGTTATTATGTAAGAATGTTATCAAATGTTTACTTAGATACTGGTTTTTTAAAACTTTTTTTAAAACTAAATATTGTAAGAAAAAAAAAAAACTAGCTAATTTTTTACCAGCAATTTTATATAAAATTAAATACTTATTTTTTTACAAAATGACTGATATACACTTACATTATTAAAATGTGTTATAAACACTTGTTTTTTTTAAACAATTTTTCATCTATTTAAATCAATTTTTCATCTATTTACATCAATTTTTACTACCAAAAGTTTCATGCGTTTAGCAATCATCACATCAATTATATAGCTCTGATATCATTCAAGAATTTACGCTTATTTTTAATGTTTATAAGGAATTTCATTTCTATTAAAATAAAAAGATATAGTGTCTAAATAATAAAGTTTTTTTTCTTTTAGCAAGTTTAGTCTTACTGAAACAATTAAGTTTGACATTTTATTTCTGGGACACTGTAGCTTAAGCAGGCCTTGTTTTGAAGCATAAACCAGTGCGCCATTTACATACTACAAAGAAAATTTTCTTTTCACTAAACTTTCATCAAAAATGTTTTCTTGTAAAAGAAAAAAAAAAGATGTTATAGGAATGTATAAAAAGAAATCATAAAGTAAACATAATAAAAAAAATTTTATTTATTATCTTGCAAGAGCAAAACTATTTATTTAGAAAACTTCTCATAAATCTCTATTTATTTAGACCATTTTTCATAACAAACAATAACAAAAATAATTACTTAATTTAAAAAAATTAATATAAACAAACAAAAAAATTATTAGCTAAAAAAAAGTACACGTTAAATTTTATTTTATATATTAGCGCAATTTTTGATATTTTAAATTTTGTTTGTTTGCTTGTTTTGTTATAATGATTTTATAACTGTTTTTTTATTTTATCAAAAAAATGAAAAACATTATTACAAACCTTAAATAACATCTTATAAAGAGTTTTTTATAATTTAATATCTTTTATGGATATAACTCTATTATTAATTTTTTTGCTTGATTTAATGCTTAAGACAATATAGTTCTTGCAATTTATGTTTATAAATTTTATTTTGCGAAAAATAACATTTTAGAAAAATAATATATTATAATAGTTAAATCAGCTTTACATAAATAACAGTTTGTGTGATATCAAAAAAGTAAAAACAGAAATTTCCCTATAATTAAGAAAGAATTTTGATTTAAAAAGTTATTTAAATTAAAAAAATTTTTTTTTTTTTTTTCACCTTAGTTATCCTTCCTCCTTTTCTATTTTTTTAGAAAAAATTAAATGCCTTGCAAATATGTTTTAATTTATGCCTTGTAAACATGTTTTAATTTATGCCTTGTAAACATGTTTTAATTTATAACACTGCATCAAAAATATTCATAAAGCGTACATAAATGTTGAGAAAAGAAAGAAATTAGTTTATGTTCAATGATGATAAAAAAAGTAAATTTAACTATTTTAAAAAAATTGAAATAAAATAGCAATACATTTACAAAATTTGTTTTTCTTAATTAGTAAAATAAACTTGTTTTGTGGTAATTTAATTTATTGCATTAGATTAAAATAGTTAATGTCCTTAAATAATAATAAAAATAAAGTTAATTTTATTATGTCAAAATTACAAAGGGATAATAAAATAAAAAAAATATTTTTTGTTCATGAAATAATATAATACATTTTTTTATGAACAAAAAACAATTTTTTGAAAAAAAAAAAAATTTATGAACAAAAAATACTATTTAAATTTTTGACTTCATCAGTGTAAGCTAAGGGATGATATATAAATATATAAAAAATCAACTTACAATTAAAATTCAAAATAAATTAAAATTAATTAAAAAAAAATTAAAATTTAAACTAATTATTTAAACTAATTAACTTAAATTAAAATTTAAACTAATTATAATAACTCGCTGTAGTTAAGGCACTTTTAAAAAATTATAGCGTCTGTATGATATTTTGTTGACTATGACATTTCTGTTAAATGATCTGGTCTGTTAATTATGAAAAAACGAAAAAAAATTAAAATAATAAATTTTGCGATATCATAAAATATAAATGTTTTTAGCAAAAAAACCCAGACCGTGGAATCTTTTTTTTAAAAAAAATCATCTTAAAATCGTCCAAATTTAAATAAGATTTTATATTAATACATTTTTTAGGTAAAATGAGCATTATAGTTTAACAATATGATCTGTTCTGATCGTTTATTAGAAATTTTCCATATTTATAAGATCTTTCTTGGTCGGAATTCCAGTATTTTTTGTGAAAATTGATAGAAATATTGTGTTTTGACAACTATATATAGTTAATATACGTCAGAACCAATTAGGATCAGTAGTAAATTAAAAAACTTTTTAAAAAGATTTTAACTAAATTCATGTTAATGCCGATAAGCGGAATTGATCTAAAGACTCCAAAATAGTGTTCTTTAGATACATTATTACGGGTAGTAAAAAGATTTTGAAAATTATATAAAAAAAAGAAAAGTTTTTTTAAATATTATAAAAACCTTAAGCAAAAAAAATTATAGCATTTGAAGATTTTGTTTGGGTATAATATGCTGACAAAACCATGCTAATTCCAAATAAAAGTATTCAAATATTTTGTAAATCGCCTTAACTACACCGAGAACTTATAAATTTGTGAGATTATTATTCAAAAACATTGATGACAGATAAACTTTGTAAATTAAGCTTAATATTTAAATAAATTTAATTTCTAGATTTCTAGATAGTTTTTTTCTTTTTTAAATGGCATTTAAAATATGACAATTTCTTTTATTGAAAAGCAACACATTATAAGAATAATACTTTATTCAAAATATTATTTTTATAACTTTATTTTTCACCAAGTTTGGAATACAAGTACAAAGATCATGTACATGTACAGGTGACCATGTACATGACCAGAAGACCAAAATTTAAAAACAAAGTGAAAAACCTTTCAGCTGTAGTAGAAATAGCATCAACATTTTCAAGAATTCTAAAAACATAAAACAGAATGCATTTTAAAAAAAAAGTGTAAAAATGTGTAAAATAAAATATTTATACGTACATACATGCACAAATATAACTATAATGTATATACATATATATATATATATATATATATATATATATATATATATATATATATATATATATATATATATATATATATATATATATATATATATATATATATATATATATATATACATATATATACATGTATGTATGTATGTATGTATGTATGTATGTATGTATGTATGTATGTATGTATGTATGTATGTATGTATGTATGTATGTATGTATGTATGTATGTATGTATTTATGTATGTATGTATGTATGTATGTATGTGTGTATGTATGTATGTATGTATGTATGTATGTATGTATGTATGTATGTATGTAAGTATGCAACCCTTGGAATTAGGATAATTGAGGCAATAACTTGCCAACCGCATGTATGTATGTATGTATGAATGTATACTTATTCTATACAAATATATATGGGACCATCCATAAATCATACACGCAAGTATGGGGAGGGGGTCACTCAAAAGCGCACCAGTGCATACAAGGAAAAGGGTGGAAAACTTTTTGTTTCGTGTGAAGTCTGGGAAATCGGACAAAAAAGCTTTGGTTTGTTAGTTAATGCATTTGTTAATCTACCAGAAAAAATATGTTACTGCAGCTTTAACATTAAATAAAAACAATGAAATATCTTTATTTATTAAAAGATGACTACATAACTTTGTTTTCATTTTGGAGTTGAACTAACATGCTTGAATGCGGACATTTTAAACAACAGAAACATCTTTAATTCAATTTAAAATAAATATTAGTTAAAAAAAAAAAAGATTAAGAATATTTCTTTTATTTACAAAAGATGTGTGAAAAATTAAAAACAATAAAACAAAAAAATCTTATGTTTTTAAAAAATCTTGTGAATTAAATTTTTTGATTTTTTAAAATTCAATCACCTATTCTCATTGGGAGGAAACATTTTGAAAATAGTAAACATTCCATTCTATCTGTTGGTAGTAATGACTTCACAAATTTTTATTCATTGTTTATACAAAATAGAAAACTGCTTTCTAATTTAAACTGAATGCGTCATTTAAATATTGCCAAGTGAATAATATTTTATATACTTGATTATATACTATATAAATAACTATATATATACCTATATAAATAACTTATATACTGACGTATATTTTGAGAAACGCGTTTGTGAAACTAGTGACAACATTTTATCTTTTGTTGTTTGTGAGCGTGTTTTCTAAAAGTTTCAATTCAAAGTTATATAATAAATATATTTGCTATAGGTTTTGTTTATTGAAACTTTTTTTTTTAATATTAAGTTGCATTTAGCTTTAACTTTTTTAATAAATAGACTTTAATATAAGCTTAACTGATTCAAAGATACCAGTGAAAATATTTAGTATTATATTAACTTATATTTAACAAAAAAATATTTGATATTCCAACGTTTTGATGTTTTGGAATTTTAAATATAATAGTCATTAATTAATAAAATGTGATAGAACCTGTACAAATTCAAAGCTTCAAGTGAAGTTTAAGTTTGATAAACTTTTTACGCTAGATATTTATTTATAAGATATTTATAAATATTATGTTAGATATTTAATTTTTTAACATTAAAGTTTGGAATTTTCATTGAAGTATTGCAAGTTTTGATATTTTATTACATGGAACTTTTTACGCAATTCAAAGTAAAAGTTCTAGTTGAGTAAAGTTTTTTGTCAAATGGACCCTATAAAAATATATGAGTTAGCAAATGGTTTGACTTAACCAGGGAACGATTAAGCAAATAATATGATAAAGTTCAACTGAAATTAAAAAAAAAGCATGCTGGATTTAGCTTTCAAATAAAAGAAATAAATCATTTTTAATTTGAACTTATACCGCATAAATTAAATTAAAGTAAGTCATGCATAAACTATGTGTGACGTTCCTTATTACGAATATAACTTCATTATTTATCAATATGCAAACTCTACAATTTAAACATATTTTGACTAAAAATTTTACTAAAAATACTTCCTATAAAATCAACAAATAATTTTCTCCTTCGCAAGTTCTGCAGACAAGTGCAATTTTTTACTATTGCAACAAAACTAGCATGCGCTATTTGTTGCACCCGGAAAGTTGTTTATGGGTATGTTTCTTGTGCAAGGAACAATTACTCCCGCTTCATCACAAGGCCTGATATATATATATTTGTGTGTATATATATATATATATATATATATATATATATATATATATATATATATATATATATATATATATATATATATATATATATATATACATGTATATATATATATTTATATATATATATATATATATATATATATATATATATATATATATATATATATATATATATATATATATATATATATATATATATATATATATATATATATACATATATATATATATATATATATATATATATATATATATATATATATATATATATATATATATATTTGTATAGATATATATATATATATTTGTATATACATATTTATATATATATATATATATATAATATATTTATATATATTTATATATATATTTATAGTTATATATATATATATATATATATATATATATATATATATATATATATATATATATATATATATATATATATATATATATATATATATATATATTTCAGGGGCTATTCTAGACAGTTTTCAATAGCATCAACCATATTTGGGCGCCGTCCAAATTAAAATTTGAGGACATTTTTTTTTTCTTACATTTTTATAGCAAATATTGTTTATTTTGCAAAAAAAAAACACAGATTTTCCACTAAAGTTTGCTGGAAGGAGGGGGTACTGTCATCAAATTTTTTTCCTAGAATAGGCCCTGTATTTATACATATATATATATATATATATATATATATATATATATATATATATATATATATATATATATATATATATATATATATATATATATATATATATATATATATATATATATATATATATGTCCTCTATAACCCCCTCTTCCCCCCCCCCCCAAAAAAAAAAAAACAACTAAAGAGTTACTAAAGTTATAGTTTATAAATGTGATGAAAAAGCAAGGTTTCAATCGACTGAATTTAATGTGGTAGACCAAGGTAACCAAGGTACTATTATTGGTAACCAAGGTAATATTAATTTTGTTAAAGTTATTATCTTATAAAATTGTTTTAAAAAATAATTTTATTGACTTGTTTTATCTGTATTTTTTATTAGGTTTAAGTGAGACATATCATTGTGGATGCTTATTAGGGTATAAAAACATTTACTAGGGTGTCTAAAAAAAAAATTATTTTAAAAATTTAAATGTAAAAAATCATTATCATTAAGTATAATTAGTTTTCAGTGAAAAATTTATCTCCCAGTCCTCTTTTATTCAACTCCTATATAATAATATTTACAGTTGTTTTATTTTTAACTTTTGCAAACAAAGGTCTAGGAATTTTAACACAAACAAAACAAAAGAACAAGAAGCTTTTTTTATATTGTAATTTTATTACAGAAAAAGTTTTAAATTGACTTTTATGCTCTAGTTTGACTAGAAAGCAATTAAAGTGTTGAAAATGTTATTATATATACTATATTATTATAAAATATTATTATATATATATTATTATATATGATATACTAGTAAAGTAAACAAATTTGGTTTAAATAGTTTAAATAGAACAAGGGAACAAAGATATTATTTTGTGTGTAAGCTTTTAGTTATTTTTATAGATTTTTCCAATTTTATATTTCTTATTATTTATTTATTATGAAATGTTGATTTCGGTTTCAGTATTCAACTAGTATACCTGAAATTTTGGTTTATTTCGGTTTCAATGTATTGGTCTATTACTAATGTTAAAGCTTTATTAACTTACCATGATGAAGAACTTTTCAGAAAGTCTGTTAATCAACCAGACAAATTAGCAAAAACAATATATAGCTGTTATGATTAAATATCTTTTTAATGGACCACATAGTTTGCATGATTCCGATATGTTGATTTGATTCAGATTATCAGTATAAAGTAATTCTATAATTAGATCAATTTCAAATGTGATGGGAAGCTGCGTTGCAACTCTGTGTAACAATAATAAGGTTAATGTTAAGTTTTTTTCTCACTTTGAAATTATTGTAGAAAAACCTTGGTTGACTAAAAATAACATTTTTTTACTTTAAAAAAATTAAATAAAAAAGAAAAAATATAAGAAATAATAGGATTACTGAAACAACTCAAGAAATACAGTTTAAGTTTCCTTGTATTTGAGAGTATTTTGTTAAGAAACTCTGCATTATCAACACATCCTAATATAGACCAAATGCTAAAAGAGCTGCTTTATTTCTAATAAAGCTAATTGATGCCTAGAAAAATATTAATGTTGACAAATATGATGATGATAAAATGTTAAGAGAGCTGTTGTGTTCTGTAATTGAGTCACCAGATGATCTTAGCCTGCAAAAACTACTTTCTTTATCAAAAATGTGCAAAGTTATGAATTTCCATAATGAAAACAAAAGCAATAAAACACCAACTCCAGAAACATCTAAAGCAAGATTAAATATAAAGTTTATACATTAAAAGTCGAAGTAGCAAAATATTTAAGTAAATCACACAAATTTATAAAAATTGGTGACTTAACATCTGACCCATTGAAAAAGCGTTTAGTAAGTTGTGTCAGGGTGGTAATGGTGGCATATTTTATTTTGGTTCAACAAGTCTTGAAAATGATTAAAATTGAAAGCTCAAAACTACTTTTACAGTATGATTTAGACTTTAATGAACTTAATGTTGGTTATAGTTGCATAAACTATCAGAGGCAATTGATGCAAAATGAAAATGAAATATTTGATTCTTTGAACATAGTAGCAGACTTTGTTGAGAAGTATTTTATGCTATATGCATTTTACATTCGAAATGCAGATTTTACCTAGTGTTAAGCCATTTAAGTTACGCCAAAACTCATACCAATTGGAATATTTAAATTGTCTTTTGATATAGTTTAATCGGCGTTTGTTTTGAAAATATTAAGTCATCGAAATTGTGAAATAAATTAATTTCTTGATTAAAAAAAACATACATTTAAGTGAAATAAAATTAATTTTTTTTTATACTTGAAAATAAAAGTTAACATAAGTTATTAACAAAAGTTAATAATATAATGTTTTTTTATACTTGAAAATTCTCAAACAAAAGATAAAATTTTTTGACATATTTAACTTAAAGTTTAAATTTTAAGTTTAAACTTTTCATCAATTTTAATTTAAAGTTTTTTAATTTAAAAACTTTAATTTAAATAAATAAAACATAAAAACTTTCAAGTCTCTCTACTATATAGCTTATAATGTGCAGGTAAGTGTTTTTTTTAAAAAGAATTTATTTTGCAAATAGAATTAAATTTTTTTCGCTTTATATTTATTCAACTTTTGTAATTCAATATCACAATAAGTTCTTTTGACATTAGATTTATTTATGATCATAAATTAAGTTTATAAATATCTGCTTAGTAACTCATAAAATCTATCTATAAATTTTTCATAACATTTGTTAAAAATATTTCATTAAATACTTATAAAATTAAAAAACTAAACTGTGAGAAAGCGAGCAAAAGCGAGCAAGAAACCGAGCAAAAGATTGTTATGTTCAAGTTTGTTTTAAAAAATAAATAATAACGAAAAATAATCTTTTTTAAATACTTAATTTTTTTTTCAAAAACAATATTCGTTATAGTCATATTGTTTAAAAGATTTTTAACGTGGTTTAAAATCAATATTATTACAATTCAATACTTTAAAATGCGCTAATGATGCAATTTAATTTTTAACAATGTAAATATGTAAATATTAACTTTGTTGAGTTACATTTACATGAGTACATTGTTACAAATATGTTACAATGGCAACAGATATCATTACTTTTCTGTTATGCAATGATATTTTTAACTTAAGATTGATTACAAAGATCTTGACACTGACATATATTCATATTGTAGTGAGTATGGTGCTTATCTCAATGACTTAGAGGTGGTTTGACAAAGCCGACTGACATTTTATGTCAACTTTCTTTTGTTATATACTTTTCATTGCACTGAATCTAATTTTGCCAGTTTGTTCACATTCTCTATTTTACTTTTTTTTTTTAATCCATTGACAATTTTTATTTTTGGAGTTATTTTAAAAATAATGTCTTTTATGAAAAATTATAAAATCTTGTCCAACTCTTATTTAAATAATTACTCAAAGCTACACTCCACATTCTTCCAAGGAGTCAGCTGGAAAGGAGCCAGCTCAAACAATTTTAAAACTGAGTAATTAGATTAAAAATTTGTTCTTTTTTGATGTTTGAAATTCTTTTAGATGAAGTTTTATCAAAATCTTTTATATTACTTCCTGCTTTAAAAATACTGAAAATTTCTGTATTTATATTTAGTAAGTTAGTAATTAATTAATTTGTTAAACTAGTTTTATACATAAAAAACTAGCCAAAATAAAATGCTAACTATATGTATATATATATATATATATATATATATATATATATATATATATATATATATATATATATATATATATATATATATATATATATATATATATATATATATGTATATATATATATATATATATATATATATATATATATATATATATATATATATATATATATATATATATATATATATATATATATATATATTCACACACATAAACTCTCTCACTCTCTCTCTCTCTGTCTCTATATATATAGGTACATACATTTATTATTTCTATATTCATATCTATATATCTATATTTATATATTTTGCTTAGAAAAAAAATACAAATTGAATATAAAATCTAAATCAGTATAAATACATAAAATTCAAAACAAATGATCACCTATGAAGAGCTGTGTCTGCACCAATAGTCATATCAGTTCCACAAAAATCATTATCAATGCTTCCAACCTGTAATTGTGTTAAAATTTAAATTTCTAAAAAACCTCTATTATTTACTAAAATTAAAAAAATTTAATTAAAACAATAAAAAAAAATTAAATAAAAAGAACTGTATTTTATTTAGAGGATTTCTATACCAATAATTTGATGGTTTATGTCTGTTGGTCTTCACACCCCTAGTCTTAAATACTATAAATGACCAAATAAGCGCTAGAGCACTTATTTAAAAATATTTTTTTATAGAGATGAAATAAATCTTAAGGATTTAAGATGAGGTGCTTATAAAAAATCTGAACTTTTTTATTTTTAAATTGTTTCTTAAAACATAAAGAAAAGTTTAATAAATTAATTTTTGTTATTCCTAACTTGTTTCTTTAACATGAATGTAAAAGATATGTTCTAATAAGTAAACAATCGTCTAGATTAAAGTTAACAAATAAAATATTTTGATAGTTCAATCATATTAAAACATAAACAAAGAGTAAAGTTGATATAAGCAACATACCATCCCAACAATACTTAAGTAGGGACACATTTCATAATCTGTTTCTGTAATTAAACCTAAACAAGTAAAGATGGAAACAATTTAATATATACATATGTATGTGCATATATATATATATATATATATATATATATATATATATATATATATATATATATATATATATATATAATATATACATATATATATATATATACATACATATATATATATATATATATATATATATATATATATATATATATATATATATATATATATATATATATATATGTATATATACAACCCTCAGAATTAAGGTTGGCGTTGCCGACCTAACTGGCAACCTAAAAGTGTTTGAGGTCGGCAAAAAAAATGCCAACTTCGTTCCTATGTTTTATGGTAAGACCTATGCTATATATATATATATATATATATATATATATATATATATATATATATATATATATATATATATATATATATATATATATCAAATTAGTCAAGAGGAAATCTCAAAATCATTTTTATAAATTTAACGACTTGATTATATTTAAAAAAAAATGGCAAATATGGCAAACTAAAATGTTTAACAACATAAAGATTTATCAAGAATGCTAACTTGAATTAAGTAATCAGCCCTTTTAAAAAATCATAAATAATCTGAATAAAATAAATAAACTGAATAAAAATAAATATTGTTGAATAATAATGATAAAAAGTCTAAAAGATACATAAAAAAGGTAAAACAATATATAACAAAAAACTTTTCCTTAACCAAGTCAATTCTTAAAAAATACAAGATAACAATTATCAAGTTCGAAAAAAAAGTTGTAAAACTACTCAGACTTACCAATTAACCCTGATATAAGATATTTTTTTTAGTTTTATTGAAATTTTTTTGCATATTATATCAACTATTATATTGCCATTATATTCAAGTATATTCATTAATTTCAACTCCAGAGCAAAATATGTGTAGCCAATCATAATATCTATTCAAGTAATTTTAAACTTTAACTCCAGAGCAAAATATGTGTAGTGAATTAAAAAAATAACAAATATATTTTCTTGTATATCTAGTTTCTAGTTCTCTTGAATGAGTTGTTAGAGCCTAGTGCCTTTTTTATCTTAGACTCCCTAGTTGTTGCAGCAATTATTTAGTCAAATGAAAGCTTATTCCATTAAAATAATTTTTTCCTAAATGTCTAATCATAGAGTGTATTATACTATTGGAAAGTACATTCAAACCCAAGTATAAAAATCATTAAAATATTTAAAGGATTGATAAAGTTGTGATTTTTCAAAGATTCATACTAAGCGATAAGTCTCAATCGTTATAACTGACATAATTCAGAAATCCTTTGAAAATTGATATTAAATGTGATGTATTTAAATTGAAATCTTGAAATGATTTTGCTTCTAGCCATTGTAGCCTTTTGAAAATTTAAATAAATGATGAATTTATGTTGATTTAAGGAAATGATGAATTTATGATTTTTTTTTCAAAGAAATCCCATAAGGCAAAGGTCACGAATGCATGAAAAATGATAAAAAATAACAAAAATTTAATTAAGCAACATTGATGACAAGGTTTAGTTTTTCAAAATAATGCCCTATAATGTTGAAGTTAGTTTGTCACCCATACAGTATTCTTGTTTTGTGTTGAACACAGCCATTACCATTCTGGAAACCCGGATTAAACTATCTCGAGCATCCTGCCCCACAACTGCCTTTGAAGCTTCGGTAACATTTTTTATGCATCTTTTAACTGCCTGTGTATGGCATGGAAAATGAGGAAATTCAATAATAGGTGCTTCTGCACTGCTAACAAATGACTCCAACTCATTATCAGACAAAAATTTTGTCTGATAATAAGTTGAAATTTTTGCTGCTCCATCACATTCAACTGCCATGAGCTTTTCTGTATTCACGTTATTCTCTTGAATAAATGCCATTATACTTTAAATCATGGTCTTACCTGTGCCACTTTTTTAGGTCACATGACCTAAATAACTTGATCCTAGTTCATGGACAAGTGAGATATGTCAACCCACGGTCACCCCCCAACGAAATCTTCTATGAAAATTTTCATTTACCATTGTTTTATCTTTCCAACCATTAAAGTAAATTCCATGGATATCAAAACAAATATCATCACGAACCAAACACCGATACTACTGAGGTTCACTCCTTAATTTATTCCTGTTGATTATATTTGAACAACCGCCTGACGTTACAATGCCATAATCTTGTAAGACACCTGATGCAATTTCAGCAACAGCTCGGTCGGAGAGATCATATCAATCTGAAGTTTTTGCTACATTTTTAAATTCATTTCGTTGTTGAGAACATAGTCTGAGATATTCATCATTGTTTACAACTTCAAAGTCAGAGTCACTTTTGTTAGATTTCTTATTCAGCCCTTCATCGTCTGACAACAGTCAGATGATGAAGGGCAGTTGCTCAGACAGTGGTACTTTTTTAGCTTTTTAGTACTTTTTTTGTTGCAAGAACAAGATGAACCTTTAGCATGTTTGCAAGCCGCAATGTCAAAAAGGCTATGTTCGGCATCTTCTCGAAAACTTGATATTCTGGCTTCATATTGGGTATTTCTTTTAGATTTTGGATATCGAACCAGTTTCAAATAGTTTTCATGATGAGAATTGATAATTTGCACAACACGAGTCTTTGAAATAGTTGGAATACTTGCCCGATAACATATTTTGTTGACTTTGGATGCCAGAATTTCTGATATCTCTGAGACGGTAGGTTCTTTTTGCAGACCCTTCTTGATTTGCAAGTCATGTTGAATCCACATATTTTTATATGTATATTTTTTTGTTTTTTTGTTAATTCACCTCCTCAAGACTGAGAAGGCCACTACAGATGAGAAGGCTACTTATTTGTGGTTATAACCCTCTCTCAACTCTATAACTCCGAAACAAGAACCTTGACAAACAAGGCCGCTGCGCTGAGAAATGAGTTGAGGGCGGTACTACCAGGGACGTGGTTGGGATCATACTCGGAACCACTTACTTATGAAGCGAGCACTCTACCACTACATCACTACTGCATTATTCAATAAACATATTCATTTGTGTTGGCAGCGTGCTCAACTTCATTCATTTCAGATTGCCAAAAATAGGACAAGCAGGAGGTTTTCTCAATGCAATGTCCATTGTTGATGTCATGTACTTACCTACAAGCAAAATAAAAAATTATGTGACCAAAAAATATTTACCCAGCAATAGAAGTAACACTTGAATTTGTTGTATCATTTTAATCTCAAAATATAGATTTTGGGTATTTTACTGAACCTAATTGCATGCAAATAATTGAAAAAAATTAGGTAGCCTAATAATAGTAATGTTATGATAGGGTATATCTAAACACCAATATTTTACAAAGACATTTATTTATACATACCAAATGAAAAATAAATGTTTTCTGATGTGCAGATATAGAGTAAATTTGACTTAATAATTTATATATTTTTAAGATACTAAAATGGTATAGCGCTTTATTTTGTCTAATTTAACTATTTGGATGTCATTAAACATGAAATTTATTTTAAAAAATCATAGATAATACATCATTTATAAATTTTCAAAATGCTACAATTACTAAAATCCAAATTCAAACATTCAACACTTCAATTTAAATACATGTCATTTAATATAAACTTTCATATGATTTCTGAGTTATGTCAATTATAATAGTTTTTGAGCAATCGAGACTTATTGTTTAGTATAAATTCTTTTAAAAATCACAACTTTATCAATCTTTTGAATATTTTAATGATTTTTATACTTGGATTTGAATATACTTTCCAATAGTATAATACACTCTATGATAAGACATTTGGGAAAAAAATTATTTTGCAAAAAATATCGACTTATTACATAAAAATCAAAGTTTTCCAAAACTAATTAGATGGCAGAAGACATCATCCAAAATGCCCTGAAAAAAAATTTTTTTTTTTGCCAAGACACTAACCCAAGTGCCAACTTTTGGTAACTATTAGAATTCATTTAGAAAAAAAAAAAATTTCACTCCACCCTAGTGTGCATTAATAAAAAAAATAAAATGGTAGAATCTACGAAATCTTTCTAATAACATGAAATAAGCATTAAAAGACTTTACAGTAATATAAAGTTATAACAGTGACTTTTAATAATTGCAATTTCAAAAACATTTTGGTCAAAAATAAAGTAGATAAAGATAAAGAATATAGTAGATAAAGATAAAAAATAAAGTAGATAAAGATAAAGAATATAGTAGATAAAGATAAAAAATAAAGTAGATAAAGATAAAGAATATAGTAGACAAAGATAAAAAATAAAGTAGATAAAGATAAAAAATAAAGAAGATAAAGTTTTTTTTTTACTTAAAACTCCAATCAAAACTTTGTGTTACCACAGCTTATGATTAACAATCAAAAAGTTAGAGGGGGAGTCAGAATCAAAAAGTTAGAAGGGGGGGGGGGGGTCAGAATCATGCTTATTAGAAATTAAAGTGACTTTGCAACCCTAATGGAAAAAAAAGGAAACACAAATATTAGCACAGAAAAGAATAAATAAATAAATAAAAAAACAAAAATAAAACAAGAAAAAATAAAAAAACATTTTTTAATTTTTAGTTTTTTACAATTATCTGTTTGTCAATTTAATAAAACTGATAAATGTATGACAATTTACCCTCAGCTAAAAGTTCTTGAATTAATGATGGCCATTCTTTGCGAAAAATATCAGCTCCGGTCAGACTTCCGTCACCTCCGATTACAACCTAAAAAAAGGAATTTTATTTTTTGGTGTAATTTTATTAATTGGAATTATCTCTATATTTATTATTGCAAAATGTGTAAAAACAAATAAAAGATAAACCAGAAAAAATAAAAGCATAAAATTAATGTCTTTAATTAATTTAAAAGTGTTTTACTTCCTAGAACCTAGAAATAATCCAAGCTTTATTACTTCGAAACTTATTCATCTAAAAATTTAAAATGTTGATAATTTCTGATGTCTACTAAGCAAATAACACATAAAAATAAATTATCCAATAAAAGGATTTGAACCCTCATCCAATGCCAAACTAACAATTGCATCTCATAAATAAAACAATAAATCAACTTAAGGACTGCACTAACATAGTGAACTAGGAAAAATTATAAATTTTTAAATTATTAATTTTACCTCTTTGAATTTTTAAATTATTAATTGTATATCTTTAAAGTAATTATTTGGTTTGAGACAATTCTAAATTAAAATATATATTTTTTTAGGCTTAAATTTTCTCTGGTTAATTTTTTATTTTATTATTCTTTAAGTTCATTTCAGTTTTCAGTTTATGGTTTGCTTATTTTAATTTTCTCTTTAAATTAGTTTAGTTTTTTCAGGGCATTTTTTAAACATGCAAAATTATCAAAGTATGCAAAAAACAGTAACCAAGTTATCAAAAAAAAAAAAATGCATTTGTGGTCATATAAGGCATGCAACCACACATATTTTCTCTTAATATATATACATATATATATATATATATATATATATATATATATATATATATATATATATATATATATATATACATATATATATATATATATATATATATACATATATATATATATATACATATATATATATATATATATATATATATATATATATATATATATATATATATATGCATATATATATATATATATATGTATATATATATATATATATACATATATATATATATATATATATATATATATATATATATATATATATTTATATATATTATTATTATATATTGCAAACTTTAAACTTTTGTATGTTCATGCTTATGTCAAATGAGAATGTTTTGCAAAGAGTTGCAGTGATTAGAGCTTGGGGACAAAAAACATCAATTTTTGGGCCCACCCAGCCCTTAACGCGGGAGTGACAAGTTGATAAAATAATTTCTTTAGTATTTTTATCCAAGTTTATATTTATCAACAAATTTTAAATTTCATGCTATAATCTCCTATTTTTTTGAAAATTATGACTATATAAAGTTTCAACCCCCCTCAATTTGAGGGGGCTGTAAACTTTGTAGGGTCATAAAAACTTAACACTAAGAGGTTATTGCATGAAATTTGAAATTTGTTGATGAATATAAACTTAGATAAAATTACTAAAGAAATTATTTTATAAACTTGTTGCTCCCACATTAAGCTCCAATCACCACAACTCTTTGCAAAACATTCTCATTTGACATAAACATGAACATACAAAAGTTTGGAGTTTGCACAATGCTTTTAAGTGCCAAAACTCAAACATCTAAAAATCCAGTGTACACCGCTGATATGTATATGTATATATATATATATATATATATATATATATATATATATATATAGTTTTGCATGGTCGTCCAAAAGTTTTTCCCATAAACTGTAATTTTGAAGAGAACGCTAATAAACCAGACCAGAAAAAGTTTAAAAATTTAAACAATTTTTTTTTTTAAATGATAGACTGCCTGCCCAAACCAAGCCCCCAGTCGATGTAGCAGCACTGCCTTATAAATCAAGCTATTAGATAGTCCATGCAGCAGCACTCCGTTGCAAATCAGGCAATAAGATAGTTGATGGAGCAACACTATGTTGCAAGTCAGGCTATAAGATAGTCAATGTAGCAACACTCCCTTGTAGCAGCAGGCTATAAGATAGTCGATGTAGCTCATTTTTCAACACTCAGCGCATTTTTTTAAATGTATTTTAATAAAACAAAAACAACAACACCACTAATTAAAAAAAATTTTTAGTCATTATTATTGCGGTTTTTTTAAAAAAGATAAAATTTAATGTACTTCCGCATTAATTTAATTGCTTTGACATTTCGACAACAGTAAAATGTAGCTTAATTGTTGAGGTAGCAAAATTGTAGTCAAAAGAGACTTTTTTTTTATATTAAAAGGCTCTTTCGACTACAAGATAAGGATATATATATATCATATATATACATACACTTCCTGCCAAAGTCTATATATATGTGTGTGTATATAGGCTTCGGCAGGAAGTGAGAGCATTAGCTCTCACCCTCATTTTAATTTTGTCATGAATATAACCCACTTTCTTTCTTTCTCTTTTTTTAAATATTGATTAGAAAAATTAAAAATTGCAAACTACATAGTACAATAACAAGTTCAAGATTTTTTTGCTTACAGATTATTTTTATTTGTCTACTATATGCAATTAGTTTTTTTTTGCATAACAGTCACTGATTTTTTTTATAGTGCTGGAGAGTATATTTTAATTATACAAATAGCTAACAACTTGTTGACTTTATAATATAAGATTCTAATAATATAAGATTTTACAATAAATTTTCTGTCTTAGTAAAACAAAATTTTGGTTTTATAAATACAAATATAAATGTTAAATAATTATAATATAAAGTTATAATAGACATAGTAAAAAAAAACTCTTTCTTTTCTTTTCAAACATAGATGTGCAGAGAGATTTTTTTTCTAAAATCCTTGGTGTGGAATACTGTGTAATATCACTATAAAATTAATGACATTATGGTCAAGTTCACAAAGTTGCAAACACAACATAATAATTACTATTAATATTAATTATATATTTATATATATTATTATTAATATTAATAATAATTATATTACTAATAATCATAATTGCAGACAACATAATAACAATGGTGTCTTCAAAATAGTTATGAATAATAAAATATTCCATATTCCTAAGCTTCATTGCCTTAAAACAAAAACTACAATATTTTATTATAAAAGTGCTTCATAAATATTTTGCTGGCACCCTCGTTTTAAAACTATTTCATAATTTTTTGGAATTTTTTTTACAAGTCTAAACTTGTCATTCACGGATTTATTTTAGACATTTGAATCAAATATGCTTCATATCTTGTTGATGTTTTTCTTTTTCTGCAAAATTTTCCTATTCTTTTTATAGAAACTGATCCAATTTCCTGTTTCTAGGTTGTAAACAAAATCATCATCATCATATATATATATATATATATATATATATATATATATATATATATATATATATATATATATATATATATATATATATATATATATATATATATATATATATATATATATATATATATATATATATATATATATATATATATATATATATATATATATATATATATATATATATATATATATATATATATATATATATATATATATATAATATATATATATATATATATAATTTCACCATATATATATATATATATATATATATATATATATATATATATATATATATATATATATATATATATATATATATATATATAATATATATATATATATAATATATATATATAATATATATATATAATATATATATATATATATATATATATATATATATATATATATATATATATATATATATATATATATATATATATATGGTGAAATTATATATATATATATATATATATATATATATATATATATATATATATATATATATATATATATATATATATATATATATATATATATATATATATATATACATATAAATTAGTAGAAAATCACTTAACAAAATTTTTTTTCATAATACACTGTGTTTCATCAATAAAGACTCATCAGAAATGAATGATCAAATTAATAAAACTTCAATTCATACCAAAAAATTAAATTACAGGAAGTCGCAAATATTTTAACTTCTGTAAATTTTCACATATTTGTGGAATTTGCTGACACTATTATAAAAAGAATTCTTTAGTAATGATTACTTATGCTTTTTTTTTTTTTTTAAATTTTCAAAAGGGGGGATTTAATATAACTATTATTTGAGCTCACTTGTTTTTATAGTTTTTTAGGAGAAACTTATTTTCGTGCCTGCATTTAGAAATCATTTCCGGTTTTTTGTTTAACAAACATTCTTGGTTTGCATGTGTAATTATTTCAAATTTTTCTTGTAGACATTTGACTGTACATTTATTCAATTTGACATTAATGATTTTTACCCTTCAATAACTGCAGATATTTTAAATAAAACAATTGAATTTTCAAAAAGCCACACAGTTATTCCTGAAGAAACAATCCATATAATAAAACATTGCAGAAAAACCTTACTTTACTTTAATAAGGAAACTTGAAAAAAGAAAATTATACATGACTGCTTTGATGTAACAATGGGCAGTTATTACGGAACAGAAATTTGTGAATTTGTTGGACTATACACTTTAGATTTATTAAGTAAAATAATCCATATAAATGATTTAAGCCTTTATCGCAACAATGGTTTAATAGTATTGAGTGAAAAATCTGGTCCACAGCTTGATAAGATTCTATAGAAAAGATATAAAATTTTTTTTAAAATATTGGCTTTCAAATCAAAATAAACATAAATTAAAAAATTGTGAACTTTCTTGATGTCACATTTAACCTCTCTGAAAATTCATATAAGCCTTTCAAAAAACCAAACAATGAATTATTGTACATTAATATTAACTCAAATCATCCACCACAAATTCTAAAACAAATTCCAATTTCAATTAATAACAGGTTAAACCAAAACTCCTCTAATGAAAATGCATTTAATTCCTCCAATCGAATATTTGAAGATGCCCTAAAAAAAAGTGGTTTTGAAAATTTTGAACTAAAACTTGACCGTGAAAAAAAGAATACAAAAAAGCGAAATAGAACTAGAAATGTAATTTCCTCTAAGAATGTACCAGATAAACAATATATTGGCATAACAGAGAGTGAATAGGAAAAACGTTTTGCCAATCATAAGCAATCTTTTAAAAATAAAAAGTATTCAAAAGATACCATGCTGTCAAAATATATATGGGAACTAAAAGATAAAAATATTGATGATTTTATACTGAGTTGGTCCATCCTTAAAACAGCGCCTGCATTTTTACGGATGGACCAATTCAGTATAAAATTTCAATTCCACATATTCTAGTTTCTTATAAAAATGCCATTATGAAAACATAAATTTATAACATTATATTAAAGGATATCAAATTGATTTCCAATTTATGTGCTAGGCAAAATACAAAATGATTTTGACAGCATTACTGTTTCATTACCAATTAGAACTCTGTCACATTATGTATAGGCATTACAGCTCTAAAAAAGTGACAGAAACATTGGCCATTGCAAGTCAAAAGTTTCTTGCAGAAACACTAGACGATCTCACAAAAAACCATAATAATTCAATATCGTATATAAACATGATACAAAAAAAATTTCTGAAATTTGCGTTTTAAAGCCAAACTTCTCGGTTGTTTGTTCATTTAAGACATGTTCCCTTAGAGAAATTGAAATATTAAAGGTTATGAAATATTAAAAATTAAAGTTTAGTTATATGAAAATATTTAATTATATGTTTGTTACATCCCATATGTTTAGATCAATGATCCAAGTGCCTGATAAATTGAAACAAGCATACATAGCTCTGTTGTCTTTTTTTGTTAAAATTTTAAAGACTTACTAAAGCTAAACATTTTCTGAATAGACAAAAAAAGACATTATTTGATCTTATTTGATCTTTTTTTTTTTAATTTATTTTATTTTTCTTTGAAATTAAAAACAACACATTTTTATTATAGTTGTGTTCTTAATTGGTTTTAGTATGGTTTATACATAACTTAACTTGATATAAAGTGATGGGACACAGACATCATGGAATCATCTGTGGTAAATAGATGAGGTTGGGGAGGAGATAAGGCTGCAATGCTATTTTGTATAAAGTTAAAAAAAACTTTCATATAATATTTTGTTTGAATTTTTTTTATTAAAAGGGGGGGGAGGGGTAGCTTTATCATCCCATCACACACTTAGTACGTTGTAGTTGTAAATTACAATTTGTTACCAACTACCTTAAGAAAAATAAGTGCTCTAAAAGGTTACAAGCTAAAGTAATTTATGTGTTGACAAATTTACAACGAAAAAACCACAGATGTCCAAAATGAATGTCACAAAACACTAAATTTCATTTTTCTCAAAATGAGAAAAATGTGACATCTGTGGTTTTACCTACCATATATATATATATATATATATATACATATATATATATATATATATATATATATATATATATATATATATATATATATATATATATATATATATATATATATATATATATATATATATATATATATATATATATATATATATATATATATATATATATATACTTATGTACACAGTTTTATATATATATAAATATATAAGCAAAAAGAGTGAGCAATTGCTGATTTATATACACTATCGTGTGTGTGAGTATATACATACTTATATATAAAACTTTTTAAATGAACTGTTTACCAGGTTTGAAATTTTTCTTTGTACAAGATTTAAAGCTGCTTTCTTGCGGCCTTTCCGATCACGAAAGTCTTGGCATCGAGCAGTACCTATTACCGTTCCACCCTAGAACGAAAAGTGTATATATAAATTCTATTAAAAGTATAATCATAACAATAAAACCTTAATATCAAACAACTAACCTTATTTAGGATACCGCTAACATCTTCCCAACAAACTTTTTTAATGTTGTCACCACCATCTACTAAACCTTGGTACCCCTAAAAAGAACATATTTAACATAGTTTTAATAGAAAACAGTTTTAAGAATTTGCGGCAAAATAAAGCTCTAAAAAACTACAGAGAATAAAACAGCAATACTCAAAGAAAGTAAATGAATATTATAGGAAATAAAATATCTAAAAAAATAAACAAACAAAAAAATTAAAAATAAAAAAATAAAATTGGTAAAAAAAATAATAAAATCTGAATATTTTACAGTTTTTGTTTTCTTTTTTTTTAGGGCATTGTTATTTTCCACTACCAAATTAAATAGTCGAGGAAGAAAGCAGACAAGAATATAATGAAAACGAAATCATTTTTTGATATACAACTTATTTGCGACTTTAGTCAGTCAGTATACTAAGGAAATACTTTCTTATTTGCACTAAAAATATCGACAATTTTAAAATTTGTTTTTCAAATGTTTTTGCTAAACTTTACTGTTTTTATCAATGCACAGGAAAGCAAGAAAAATAATAGATGTTTATTTGTAAAAATTTTATTTTTTAACAAGTTTTTTATGTAAAATAATAAATAATATATTTGGTTGTTTTCACTACCCCCATTGAAGTAGTCTACACTTTTGTTGGATTCTCTAAATTGTGCATTTAAACCCGATAGTTTATTTCCTGATGAACTTTTGTTATCAACATTTCAAAAGCTTGTGGGCTAGCGCATTGTTGATTTACTTAATTTTTTTCAACAAATTTTTTGGGAGTCTATTTAAAACATTTTTTTAAAGTTTTCAAACAGTATTTTGTCTTAATGTTGAAAATTGGGCAATATAATGGAAACAATTTTAGACAAAAACAAATATGGTAAATACATTTATAAAAGAAACCATGGTATTCTTTTATTCTATAATTTCTTCTGCTGTTATAAAATTTATTAATCAAATAATATATTTTAGATAAATACCAATTTGTTTTTTAATTTTTAAAATTAAATTTTTGATTTTGAAAATTAAGAAAAAATCTCAAATAAAGCAAAAACATTTTTAAAAGCTAAAAGACATGCAAAAGAAAAAGCGCGCGAGAAAAAAGTAATAAAGTTTCTTATTGATACATAGCAAATTATTTTTCTAAAAATTGTGAATAAATTGCATATCTAAACATACAATTGTTGTTACAAAACTATTTTTTTTTTACTCAACTTAAATTTTTTTATTAAATTAAAACAAACAGCTAAAAATAACAACCACTCTAAAAATAACAACCACTCTAAAAAAAAAGAATAGAAAAGTTGTATTAAAATTTTATTAAAAAAAATTTTTTTTTTTAATTTTTTATTTTAATTATTAAACTTTTCTAGTTTATCTAACTAAATTAAAAATTTAAATTTTATTAAACCAAAATTTGATATTTCATTATAATTTTGTTTCCTTTTTATTGTATCCTAGTATTGGTTTCTTTTTTCTCAGTTGATAAGTATAGCTTTTTGCCGCGAATTATTAAAACGTTTTAAAAGTTAAAAAATGCGAATTCGCATGGTCAGTTTTTTTAAATAAAGTACTTGAACGTGGACGAACAAAGCGTGAGTCCGCACAGGATTTATATGAAGGCTTGTAAAATTGCGCTGAAGTTAATGGACAATAGCATTGCATAAAATTTTATGAACAATATTAACCAATGGCTACATGCTGAACAATTGAAAAATATGAAGACAATTTATATTGACAACTCCTTAAAAAAGTTTTTTTTATTTTATTAAATGAATATTTTAACAACATATATATTTCAGTTATAAACAACTGCTATCAATATGTGTCCTGAATAAAATTTAAAATAGTATAAAGTTAAGAATTATATATGATTAAAAGTATAATATATAAATATAATATTTACAAGTTTTATAAAGTGATTTAAATAAAATGAGATTTTTTGCATTTTTTCCCTCTTTTGTTGAAAGATTGTAAAAAAGCAGTGTCTATAATAAAATGACTTTTTTTCAGTTTTGAGTTTTATCTTTGGAATTACAGCAGATAGATTATTGTTGAATGTTTGTTTTGAGTGTTTTGTATTGTAAAATAGTTTTTGAAATTGATACATGTAGTCCCATACAAACATTTATATATTAATTTGCAAGCTCTTTTCTTAGAATATTGATGGAATTTTTCTAAGAATATTGATGGTTACTTTATTTATATGATTGTTCGATATTATTGCAACATCTCTAGCTTCTAATTTATTAATTTTATTTATTTGCTTGCTAGTTTTCTTTGAACTAACAATTCTGCAATATGTCATTATTGATAGTATCATGGAGATATAAATACTTTTTGATGCATCCATTGTAAACAGATGACATATCTCCTCCATCAAGTAAAGACAGTAAACTCCTTTTAAATTGAGTTATTTAAATCAAGGTTTATTTAAGTTTAAGTTAAAGATTAAAAGTTGTGTTTATAAGAGTTTTTTTTCAGGCTAAATAAAATAAAATAGAAAAAAAAAACTTTTTTGTAATTCAAAACATGAGAGTGAGGGTTACTATATGTAATGGTAACTGAACTTACCCAATGTACTGCATACATTTCTGCACCAGCATATATTCCCATTCTGATAGTGGCTCGTATTGCAGCATTCATACCTGTGAAATAACAAGAGTAATACTTACTGTTGGAAAATTTACATTGTTGTTTTTATGACAAACTGTTGATTTATGTTTTAATGTATAAGTAGCACTTACTTATTATTAATATTTGGGTAATTTTGAATAATATTTATTGATAACACCAAAACTGTATTCCATAACTAAATGATTTTGCTAAACCAGAGTTTTTAACAAAATGATAACTAATACCGTCTTTTTGCAACATATAAGAAAGTTTGCTTTAAACATTAATATTATTTAAAATCTTTCATGAACTTTTTTTAAAATACTGTTGATCTAAGTTCAGTATAAGACTTTTCTATATTTACATAAAAAATAAAAATAAATTTCCAAAATACATTAAAATTTTTACATGTAAATCTATATTAAGATTTACATGTAAAATTTTAAATGTATTTCTATTTAATCAATTATGAAAATTTTTCTTTCTAGTCTAACTAAAAATATAAATATGGTTGTCATAAAATCAAATTATATGGAAAAAAAAATCTTTATTGTGGATATTTATATATTGTAAATATTTATAAGTATTTACTTTAAAAGTGTCATTGAATTATTAATCTTAATTTTTATCTTAATTTTGTGACAATTTATTGTTCTCCTTGTCTCTTTTAATCCCCAGTATTGTAAAGAAAAAATGTTAAAACTCTTTTAGAATCTAATTGTAATATATAAACAGCAAACTACATATTTTTAAAAAATCTCTTAGAATCTATTTATAATATATAAACAGCAAACTTTAAAAAAAGTAAATAAAGCAAAATATTGCAATATTTATATAATTTCTATATTTTACATATATGTTGATGAAACATCAGTAGAAGGTGTAGGTTGGTGAAACATCAGTAGAATGTGACCTTGGTGTGTTGATCTCATCAGACATTATGCAGCAGCAACAAATGCACAGAGCATACTTGTAACTGTTAAGCGTACCTTCATTTATCTAAATATGGAAATGATCCATAGCCTATACACAATGCGAGTTAGACCCACCTCGAGTTTGCAACCTCTGTATAGAATTCTACTTTGAAAGGTGACATAAAAACATTGGAAAAAGTTAAACATCACGCAACCATACTAGAACCAAAACTAAGATTATCCAAAATTAAAAATTACTAATCAACACCATAAATACCCTGTTTGTAAACTCTTGCAAACCAAGATAGATAAACAAATAGATAGACTTTTTATAGATATAAAATTTGTTTAATTTTAAATTGTAATAGTGTAGGCTATATGGTATATAAATTATGTGGTAAAAACAAAAATAATCAAAAAAATTATTTGTAATAACTTTTGATTTGCAAAACTTTGATGCTACAAATGCAACTATTGTAAAATTAATGCACCACCATGTGACCCATCAACACCATCATAAATGTGGGAACCACTATCAAAAAAAAAAGATCATTATCATATTGATTGACAAGAATAAGTATGAGATTTAATGAGATTAAATAAATTTTCTCAACAAGTATTTTTTAAAGTAAAATAGTGTCAAATAAAATAGTTGAAAGTTTTAATTTTTTTTTTTTTTTAAGAACCTTTTTAATCGAAAAAAAAAAAATTACTTCATTCTTCACTAACATTTGAAATAGGCAATTGATGAATAATTAGAATAAACATTAAAATGAAATATATAATTAAAAGAAAACTAATTAAAAAAAAATAATAATAACAGTAATAACAACTAAAAAAACAATCAACTCTTTTTTTATTCTTATTATCAGGATGAGTCAATGAGAGGCACTGAAGGGTGATTTGAGTTGTTACTTAGGCAGCACTTTTAAAAACTGTAAAAAAAACTCTGTGTACTTGTCACTATTTTGCTTTGTTGAACCTTTGTTCGAAACTTTACAACACATTTACACCATTGACTTGGTTTGCTGCTGTTGTCATTGTTCAAGTTACAGTTGATGTTTAATTTACTTGCTGCTCGTCATCAAAGTTAATTTTACGTTGTTTTTTTAGCTTGCTTTTCTATTTTTGTACTTTTTTTGTGTTAAAGAAAGAAAATATAACAACTCTGTGTGTTGTTATATTTTCTTTCTAATATTGATTGATTCTGAAGTTATTCCGAGAATACTAAATAGGAGAATTTTGCCACCTTTTTATATTAATTGAAGATGCACTTTGATTGGATAATTAATACTAATTACCCTCATTTAGTCTTGGTAAATAATTAAGTCATTAAGTCTTATAATCAATTAAAATCAATCAAATCAATCAATTATCAAAAACAATGCCTCAAGTTCAATTTGTAGAGTATGACTACTTAAAAGGAACAAATCAAACTGCCTTATTCAAAATGAAACGTGACTGACCCAGTGGCATATGGGTTTCAGGCAATTTTGATCATATGAATTAAGTCAATGCAAAGCACAAAGCATTTTAGTAGCGAGAGTGGCTTCATGCACTAACCAAGTGATTGATGAATTTTTTGAAACACTTCAAACAACTTACAAAAATGCAAACGTATTGGATAAGTCAAAAAATGTTTCAAACTGTGACAAAATCAGTTGTTATCAACAGTCTTAATTAGAAAAGTAGCAAGGTGACTACTTATTCAAGGTAGTAATAATGAAAAAGTTTATTACACTGTAAATAATTGCAAAAATGCCATTCGTGATTGTTTGCTACCTTTTCTGTCTATAAAGCAAAACATTTTTGGGCTCAATCAGGTATTGGTGGTGCTACACTAGGTCTGCTTATGGTTAGATAGTGATAGATCAATGGATAAAACCTTCCTTTTAAATTTTAATTTAAATTAAAACATTCCTTTTAAAATGTCAAGAGAATGGAACTAATAATTTTACCATTACATTCTTCAACATTTGATTCAGGCATTTACTGTCATGTTAAAAATGTTTAGCAAGCAATTCTTTAACAACCCTACAAAAAAATTGTTTTTAGAAATGTTGATAAGATGACATTTTCTCTCTTGCTTTCGAAACTTCATTCATTAGAGATTCAGGTTTTCAAAAGATCATATGCAGTCAGTAGTTTTGAAAACACAGTTCTCTATCAATTAAATAAAAATGCAGTTGTTATGCAAAAGAATATTCAGAAGCCAAAAAACAAGCCAAAAACCAAAACCAACTATTGAAGCAAAAACAAGTGACATTTGACAGTGAAAAAGATAAAGAAGTTGACCACGACATCAAAGAAAATTAAATTTAAAAGAGAAAAATATGCAGTAAAGCAAATTGTCAAAACTTATCCAATAGCAAGACAACTGATCAGCAAAACCTTTGGTTGCAATGTGAGAAAAGCTCTTGTCGAATATGGGTTTGTGAAAAACATTTACTCAAAAAAAAAAATACAGTAAAATGTTATTGCTCAGTAAAACAAAAAGTTTTAAAACAATCTCTTATGTATTGTTTGTAAACTAAAAAGTTTTTTTAATTTGCATGATAATTTTAAAACTCAATCTCTAGTTAACTAAAATTTGTTTTTCCTACTTATTCAGATAAAACTATAAAAAGATTTAATTCAGATAAAACTCAATTTTTTTCAGCCAATCAAAAGCCAATAATGGAAACCTTATAACAAATCCGTTGCAAAATTAGCATCTTCTAAAGTTGCTTCTCTTTATCGAGCTTGGCACTTTCTTATTCTGGATTCTATTCTCTATCTCTATAAATCTCAAATCCGGCCTTGTATGGAATACTGTTGCCATATCTGGGGCGGATCTTCTAATGATGCCCTTTCTCTTTTAGACAAGGTGCAAAAACGCATTGTAAACATAGTTGGACCTGCTCTTGCAGCCAACCTTCAACCTCTGTCACATCGTGGTAATGTTGCTTCTCTTTCTCTTTTCTACAAATACTATAATGGGCACTGCTCTAAAGAGCTAGCATCTCTTGTGCCATCTACTAAAATTCATTCTCATGTTACTCGTCATTTAATTAAGTCTCATCCTTTTTCTGTTACTGTTCCTAAGTGCTCCAAAAACTCTTACTCATCTAGTTTTTTTCCTTGAACATCAGTTCTTTGGAATTCGCTTCCTTCATCTTGCTTTCCTGATTAATATAATTTGCAATCTTTTAAATCGTTTGTTAATCGTTATCTTGCTCTACAATCTTCATCTTTTCTCTTCCAGTAACTTCCAACACTAATTAGTGGTTGTTTGCAGCCTTGTTGGAAGCGAATTTATATTGAAAAAAGATGAAAAATTATGTTGAAAAGATGTTAAAAAAAATAAAAAAGATAAAAAAAATTTAGGATTGTTAGATTGCTTTTATTTAACTGATTGCAGATGTGCTTTGAAAATTGAAAAAAAAAATTATGTTGCAGATAATTGAGGTAATTTTTCCACACCATTTTTCTGTTCCCAAATGTAGGTCTAATAGTTAAAAAATTTTTCTTAAATTTTTGAAGTTAAGAAAAATTTTAACAACAATAAAAAATTTTTCTATTTGCATTTTTGGTTGTCAAGTTATTTAAATTTAAAGAATTACTGGCAAAATTACTTTACTCTATAAATTATTTTACTCTCTCAGAAAGAAAAGAAGATAAAGAATAATAAAATACAACAGTCAAGATTAAAAGATATAATATATAAAAAATAAATAAAATCACACTCTGAAAATTAAGATTTTATTGTATATAAAGTCATATAGAAAATTGTATATAAAGTCAGCATAAGAAAAAATTATGAAAAATAAAAAAGTCGAACACAAGACTTTTAAACAAACATATTTAAAAAATTACAAAACTTGTGTTGATCATTAATATAAAACAGTTTGAAATGTTCTTTTTATATATATATATATATATATATATATATATATATATATATATATATATATATATATATATATATATATATATATATATATATTTAAAAATTTTTAACATTTCATTCTCAAAGTTACAATTAGTCTTCTTTTCTCTGTTCTTCTTGGTTTTTATAAAAGAGACTTGTTTTTTTTTTTTTTTAATTTAACAAATATTTATATCAAACATTTTCTCTGCTTTTACTTATATGTTTATCCTTTTTCTATTTATATTTATATGTTTAACCTTTTCATGCCTAATCTTTAAATCATTTTTCTTTATTTTGCTTTTTTACTTTTTTTTTTTTTTTTTGTTAAACAATCATGTTCCTCATTTGCAATACCATTACAAATCAATCAATGGAGTAGGAAGGTTGACACAACCATGAAGGTAACTATAGATGAGTTTTTTTTTTAAGTACAAAAAAAAATTGCCTTTTTTTTGCTATTAATTCAGGCATAAATTTTGTTGATAGTTAAATATTTTTTGTCAATTTCTTTAGTACCTGGTTTAACTTTTTCACAAGGATACTTAGTTTACCTTCATGAATCTATTTGCCACATCTTTCTATCAGATACAGATCAAATTAATTGGGATACACTCCGCATTTTTTAACTCCATTATTGACATTGAAAATATCCCTTTTTGAAAATATCCCTTTTTGAAAAGACTTTTCTCACAGCTCAATATCATTTTTTCCTAACCATAACCTTTTTGAAAAGACTTTTCTCACAGCTCAATATCATTTTTTCCTAACCATAAAATTATGCCTGTTTCACCTTAATTACTAACAATTGTAACTATATGATAAACAAACATGTATATATTGTTGATATTTTTAATATTGGTTCTTAATTATATCTGAATCGCATTAAACTTTATCATATAAAATACAAATATTTTTAAAAGATTTTATATCTTTCAAATACCTTGAGAATCTCCTCCGCTAGTTAAAACAGCAATGCACTGCCCAGTTCCATCAACACCACCTGATAATGACATTGTTCTTCCTAGTCTCATCTTTTTAGACCCATCAAACTTAATAGAGGTATTACTTGTACGCTTTGAAGTATAAAAGGAACTATATTTTTCTGATAGATCTTCATTTTCCGTCTCCTTGAAATCGTACGCACGCCATTGAAAGGCATTAGAAACTGTACGATACAAATGAGATGCAAAACTCAATATATACCATATCATGGTTTAGCTATTTAATTTTGTATTGAAATGTTTGAAAATCAAAATTTTTTTAAAAGATTGTTTTTGCAATTTTAAAATGTTTACATAATGTTCGCAACGCGGTTGTTTTCATCCTTTAAAAAAAATTGTCGGCGGCTAAATTCTTGAAAATCTTATCAATGCGCGATTAGCTGTGATTAAAGCGATTAATAAGACTTTTATTTTATGCTTTAATTTAAGTGCCAAAAATTGCGTATAATAATTATCATATGAAACTGCTTCAACTCTTTAGTTTGAAAAATTTGTAGTATTTTATGAAAAAAGAACACGAAAAGCAATTAAAGTTGTAATGCATTATTATGTTTGACCAGTTGCTGAAAGGAGTTTTGGAGTGTAGTTAAAATTAAAAAACACAAACTATTTAAGATCACTTGGAAAACACCATACGTGTTGAGTATAATAACTGTTTTGTAATATGAGTATATTATGATTTGTACAGAAAAAAGTTAGTACAAACAAAAAAAAGATTAGTACAAAAAAAAAAAACATCACAAAATATTTTTTAAATATTAAAATATTAGCTTTCTACAGTCAGATTAAAAAATCATTTGAAACTTAATTAATTTAATGAGTAATCTAAGTGATGTATGAAATGGAAATTTTTAACGAGTTTTAATTGCCTTTATTTTTTTCAACGTTGAAACACGTGTTCGTTAAGGTTCGTATTTCGGAATTAAAGAGTTGAGAGAGAGTTGTAACTACAATAAAGTAGGCTCCTAGATTGTAATGGCTCTCTCGGGCTTGGGGAGGTGAGTAACATAAAAAAAAAATTGTATACACTTGTTGGTTGTTGTTTAGTTTTATATAGCCAATAATAACAATAGTAATAACAAACTCTCGTAACTTTACAATTATAAATGAAAGATATGAAAGAAGATCACAAAAACTCTTGCAAAAGATCAATAATTTTTTGTTTTTTTGTTTCTTTGTTTTTGTTTTTTTGTATTTATTAAAGTACTACCAGAAGTCTTTACGGAGCACTGCGGAAGAGCATTTAACTATGAAGTTCACGTCTAATATAAAAAGAAGTGGAAGGTCGTTTGTATATAATATAAAAAGAAGTGGACCGACCAAAGAGCTCTAGGGTACCCCGCTTGTTACATATTTCCATTTAGATTTGTGCATGTCGATTACTACTCGTTGATAACGGTTTGTTAGCCAGTTTTCTATCCAGTCTAAGACCAAACCGTTTATACCATATGCTTAAAGTTTGTGTAAAAGTCAGACGTGTGGAACTTTATCGAAGGCTTTTGAAAAGTCAGTGAAGATGATATCAGTGGCGTAGCCTTGATGCATTGCTAATATTTGCGTCAATGTAGTTAAATCAGTCTTCGATATTATTGAACCCTTTTTGTTTCACACTTTTAATCTCTCATAAACGTCTGGTATTGTACCAGACAAACTTAAAATAGCCAAAATCATACCGATTTTTAAGTCAGGTGAAAAAACAAATGTTTCAAACTACAGACCTATTTCTGTATTACCTTGTTTCTCTAAATTGCTAGAACGCATTATGTACAATAGGCTTTATAATCATTTAGTATCAAATAATATTCTGTACAACAAAAAACTTGGGTTTAAAAAAAATCATTCTACGGATTACGCGGTAATTGAGCTTGTAAACCATATATCGAATGCTTTTGATAAAGATTATTTTACCTTAAGAGTTTTCATTGATTTATCTAAAGCATTTGACACTATCAATCATGAAATCCTTCAAAAAAAAATTAGAACTTTATGGAGTAAACAACTTAAACTTACTTTGGTTTAAAAACTACTTGACTAACAGAAAACAATGCATAACCTATGAAACAAATGAAACCAAAAAAAAACTTATAAGTTGCGGGTTCCTCAAGAATCTATCTTAGGACCATTATTGTTTCTAGTGTATATAAATGACTTATTTTTAGCATCTAAAAAATTATATCTTATATTGTTTGCTGACGACTCCAATCTGTTTTATTCCCACAGAGATATAAAAGTTCTTTTTAAAATTTTCAATGAAGAATTATCTAAAGTAAATGAATGGTTTATAAGTAACCGCCTTTCACTAAATGTAGATAAAACTAAATTCATCCTGTTCCACAAACCAAATAAAAATGATAATATCCCACTTAAACTGCCAAGTCTTTTATTCAATAAAACAGATGTAAAAAGGGAATCTACTGTTAATTTTTTAGGCGTAGTTCTTGATGAAACCTTGTCATGAAGTTTCACATCCAATCTATTGAAAGTAAAATCTTTAATAATATTTCCGTACTTTATAAAACAAAACCATTTTTAAACGCAAAAGCTCTAATGAAAATTTATTTTTCATTTATTCACAGCTATCTTTCTTACTGCAACATTGCATGGGGAAGTACGAATTACGGAAAACTCAAAAATCTTTATAGTAAACAAAAGCATGCTTGTAGGATTGTATTTGGGGCAAACAGAACTGTTTATTGCGAACCGCTATTAAATGGTCTCAAGGCCTTAAACATTTATAAACTAAACATTTACCAAACATTACTTTTTATGTTTAAAATGAAACATGGAATATCTCCACTTATATTTCAATCTTATTTTAGCGAAATATCTCATAAGTATCCAACAAAGTTTTCAGAGGATAACTTTATTGTTCCGAGAATTAATTTAAAAATAAGTTCTTATCGAATTCAATATCGAGGACCTATTTTATGGAAAAATTTTATTAAAAACTTTAATAAAAAACACTACTCTTTAGAAAAATTTAAAACAGTTTCTAAAAGAATCTTACTTCAATTAGATTTTAATTCAATAGACTTTAAATACTTTTTTTAAAAGGTAATTTTAAAATATAAAAAACGCTTCAATTAGCACTAAATATATTTTGTTATATGTATCGAATATATTTGTATACAAAACTTTCTTTATTTTTAAATTTTTAATATAATTGTCATTTTATTATTTGACAAAAGTTATGTACTCTTTAACGTTTTTTTGTATATTTTATTCATATTTGTTTATAAACACGGACGTTTTGTAAACGGGGCTCGGTGATAAGACAGTCATTGTCTTGCTCCGGCCAATTTTTATAAATGTAATATGTCTTTATTGTAAATATATGAAACGGCAAATAAAAAAAAAAAAATAAAAATAAAAAAATATGATGATTCTTTTTTTTTTTCTTAGTACTTCTTTTTATTCAATATTTAATTTTTTTTTTAAATCTTTAAAAAAATTCCAAGTGATGTTTTCACCCAAAAATTTGATAAAAATTTATTTTTGTCACGGAATCACTTTTTATTCGAATTTGATTGATGAAAATTTGAAATAATTTTGATGGCAAAAACCGCTTTTTTGTAAGTGACTGGATAAGGATCCATTTTATTTTACTGATATTTAAAACTAACTTATTAATTAGATGCTTGTTTGCTTTGTTAAATGTTTTAAAGAATTCAAAGGTATCATTGTTAGAAGGAAATAAATTAGTATTATCTGAATAAATTAATATTATCTGCAATATAATATTAATATAATATTAATAAAATTAATATTATATGCAAACATAATACTCATTATTTTTGAACTTTAATAAAATTATTGATGTAAACTAGAAAAAAGGAGAATAGAATTTCTGTTTGATCACAGATTTCAAAATCTTCGATAACCCAGGATTTTTAAATCCAGGGATTAAAACTCGTAGTCGTGATTGTTTTATGATAAAATCATATAAAGATAAAAAAATGTTTCATAAATATTATTTGCGTAATAATTAGGATTTATGTTATTCCAATGAAGTAATGGTAGTTGATCTTTAAATAATTTGAGATTGGTAGATTGAATTGTCCGGAACAAACATTCAAATAAAATTAAAAAAATATATGCATATATAAAAGCTATTAAAAATGGAAATATTTTGTTAATAAATATAAATAAAAAAAATGTAAATTGATTTCTGATTTTATTTCATGTAACTGGATTGAACTTTATTATTGTTTTTTACAATAAAACAATAAACAAAAATATTTTACAATTGTATTACATTATTATTTTGTGATAATGTTTAATTTCAACATAACTCGTAAGCAAATTCAGGCATAAGGATTAAATATACATAGCGTCATAAATCATTCGGATGAAACAAAAAAAGTTTTCGTAACTTGTATTATGACACAGAGTTTGAAAAGAACTGATAGATGCAGCTAAAATTCCTGTCAGTTTATAGATTTCAGCACTTTTCAAAACAAATTAAGCAGTAAGCTTAAAGACATGTTGGACTAGCTACTCTCTCATTTAATCATGATATCGCTAGAAACAGGCTAAAACAAAAGCGCCTGAAATAAAGCTATGAAGTTACATTATATTATAATGTAATACAAATATACGGTTAGATACGATTACACGTAATGCTAAACGGGGGTGACTTTGATAGACTATTTTGCATTTTTGCAAAATAACTCTTTGTTTTAACTTTTTTTTAACATTTTACCTCTCCATTAAAAAAAAAAAAATTTCTAACTATTTTTATCTAATTCCAAAATGTTATCAATCTCATACCTGAGGGATGACTTTGATAATCTATAAGTTCTTAATAATTTAATCGTCCTCTCAAATGTCATCGATAGTTTTTTGGAGTTTTACTAAAGAATACAAAAGAATACAATATACAAACAAGTTTATAACATTTTTTACTGGTTAAATTATCAATTTAGAAAACAAATTTAGTTATTGAATATATCTACAAAATGGACAAAAAAATATTTATTGCTAATATGATAAACATATTAAAATAGTAAATTCATAGCATGATTAAAAATGGACAAAAAATATTTATTGCTAATATGATAAACATATTAAAATAGTAAATTCATAGCATGATTAAAAATGGACAAAAAATATTTATTGCTAATATGATAAACATATTAAAATAGTAAATTCATAGCATGATTAAAAATGGACAAAAAATATTTACTGCTAATATGATAAACATATTAAAATAGTAAATTCATAGCATGATTAAAGAACACAAATAATCCTAACTAGCAGTTACGCAAACAATCATAATTAGCATAATTAACAGTTATAATATAATACTAACACTAGTAGTAATGTCCTCTTG